GTTACACCAGCAATCGGCAACTTCAGCCTTCCAAAAATTTCATTTTCGATCCGTTAACCACCCGGAATCCACCCGAGTCCCCCGGGACCCCAACCAATCCTACCAACCACTCCCAAAACACGCTACGGACTTGCTCGAGGCCTCAAATCATATCAAACAATGCTAAAACCACGAATCGACCTCCAATCCAAGCTTTATGAACTTTAGAATTTCAAACTTCTACTTTTGATGTTTAAACCTATCAAATTACGTCCGATTGACTTCAAATTTTGCACCCAAGTCATATTCGACATTACGGACCTACTCCAACTTTCGGAATTGGATTCCGACCCCGATATCAAAAAGTCCACTTCCGGTCAAACTTCTCAAAAACCTTCAAATTTCTATCTTTAGCCAAGTGACTCCAAAATGACCCACGGACCTCCGAATTCACTTCCGATCGCGCTCCCAACTCCAGAATCACCATACGGAGCTACTCCCTGACTCGGAATCCCAAACGGATATCGATAACATTGAAATGCACTTCAACCCAAACTTATAAAATTTCCTCCAAAATGCTAACTTCCACAATAGGCGCCAAAACGCTCCCGGGTTATCCAAAACCCGACCCAGACATACGTCCGAGTCCGAAATCATCATACGAACCTGCTGGAACCTTCGAATCCTGATTCCGAGGTCGTTTACTCAAAAATCCTATCTTAGCTAATTCTTTCAACTTAAAGCTTCTGAAATGAGAATTTCCTCTCCAAGTCAACTCCGAACTTTCCAAAATTTAATTCCGACCACGCGTACAAGTCATAATACCTGAATTGAAGTTGCTCTTGGCCTCGAACTGCTGAACGGCGCTCTAGGGCTCAAAACGACCGGTCGGGTCGTTACATCCTCTTCCACTTAAACATACGTTCGTACTCGAACGTGCTAGGAACTGTGCTGGGGTTGTCTGGGATCACTGCTTAATACCTCGTGCACCTACCCGAGCTACCACAACTCAGTTGGGCACATCAACTCGATCAAATCTAAAGATAACCTCTTTCATTTAGGCAAATAAGCCTTGGAACCCAGTTTCAACATCCGAAATTCTTTTCCAGGCCTGCCTTCGACATATGAACACCGTATCAATCACCACACGCTGTACCAGAACATGACTGCCCACCCTTGCTGAATTCACACCATGCACCCCATCATTCACAAGACCATAATAACACTCTCTGATCATAATAGCTGATATTTTGCCGAATCTGATGCTCACAATGCACCCCATGACATATATAAGTCATGTTCCAACTCTTGAAATGCTGCCACGACGGAAGGGATGTGTAGGATTCATAACCAACTGCCGAATCAACGATTCATAGGGTCTATACCCTGCCAAGAACCATCACCTCTTTCTGAACCAAATAATGGCCTTACTCTTTAATACACTTCACATATTCAGATTGCACTGATCCTAAGTCCAATGATCTCGTCTCACCCAGTACGAATTGCTCAGGCAATAGCCACCCCCGGACATGGTCAAAAGTCTCATATGATACCACAACGTGCCAATAGGCTACCAATTCGAACGCGATACAATAGGAAAACGAACTCCAAAAAGGAGATCCAATTACCCCGCTCACGAATCATACATGCCACGCGGTCAACATAATTAAACAGACACCCCGCTCGTGAATCATGCATACGAACGCGGGCACACAGCTAATATAAGTTCCTCCCAGGAAAGGAGGAAACAAAGAACATAAAACAGACACGGGGAAACTGTACTCAACGTCTCGCTGTTGCGATGTGCAACCCGATCCAAATAACATACCCATGGCGGCGTGCCACCCGATCCACACATAGATTTCACATAAGGAAATATACATCGAGCTAAATTGCTCATTACAACAAAATGCCGAATATCGATCACCAGCACGCTAAGTGCATAATACCATCCCTGGGGAGACATATAGTGTCATAGGCTACAAAACTTAAGTACAACTGGGGTGCGATATACGATCTGAACCTCAAGAGCCATTCTGCTCACATAACATCATCTCCACGCGGAAATCTCAACACATAAGCCATTTCCCAAGCCGTCTCATAACTCACACGGCGTAATGTATCATTACATGAAATAACTGGCGACGGAATAACACCCTGACTACTCCTCCATAAGGAGCGCATTACTGAAACGAACACGTCTGGCCTGATATAAAGTCGACATTCAAATTTTAAATCCATCCATAGACCTCAAGCTGATTCTGATCGCACCTAACTAGGCTAATAAACTTTCAAAGGTCCATAAATACTCCCCTTTCCCTCACAACACATAAGAACAACCATCATAACTGGAGTAATCCTCCACAGTCCACAACCCAAAATAATCGTGTGCCCCCCAGGCATAAACCCTTAATTCAATGACATCACTGCAATTTCATACTTGATTTAACTCTTCAATCAATCAAGTGGCTACATGCCACACTAATGCCACCTTTCCGTGGGCACGCTCCCACAACCTTCCGTAGCAGATAACAGATCTGTACGTCCAACTCACCGGCCGCGCTAACGCTAAAAAGCGATCAAGAATCCTTAACCAGGATGCAAAGCCCCTTTTTTTCACAACACCGATCTCAGGTGATGCTGAGGACAATACCAACTTACTTTAAACATCGAAACTACTTTCCTGCTCATCCGAGCTCGTGACATCCTTGGCAATACCGAACTGCAACCTTGATCCCCTCTTCGAACTCCATACCACTCACTGCACCCAACATGCCCACATACGATAGAACACGATATTTCATCATAGACCCATAACTACAAATGAATTAACACTTCATCATATATAAAACTCTTCGCTCATCTCACTCCAGGAGAATCATGGCAACACACAGGTGAATTCTCATAATCGTAGAATATGCAAATCTCTAAGTAGTGGTCTAAGCTACCACAGCCCTTCTGGAGTCCGCCTACGCATAACAGGCTATAGCAGTAGGATACCTCTGAATAACATCAATTACGGCGGCCGACAAACCTCACACGTACCGCCATAAATCACTTGCATTACTTGATCGCGCTGAAGGAACTGATCACTACCATCAGCCAATTCAACTATGGCTAATCAATCTATCTTTTTCCCATTTATCTTTGATTGCCTTAGAGTAATAATAACTTCATTCAACTTATAATGCACTCCACCTAAGTGTCCTTGAAACACGAGACCATGCTGTTCCAAATCCCACGAACCATTTTCTACCTTCATTGTGCGCATATTCGCATCTCGACTAGGGGTGTGCATTCGAATCGGTTTATCGATAAATCGAATCGATTATTTGTTATCGAAATCGAAATCGAAAAAATCGAAACCTTATTGAACCGATAACGATAAGCATATGTACAAATCGATAATCGATAAGTAATTATCGATAAGGGTCAAAATCGAATCGCTAAATCGAATGCACACCCCTAGACTGTAGACACTTGTTAAATGAGTAATTACCTATTTGTGTAGATTAATATAACATACAGAATGTATATATATTCCGCTACTATTTTGAAAGCGGCTATACAATATTATTTTCCCTAATCTATACCCTTTCCTTTACCCTAAGTCCCTTACCCTATTATTTCCTCTACCACATTTAAGGAATGATCATATTTAAAGATCAAGGGAATGAAGTTCAAATTAATGGAAAACAGAATTAGCCGTGATGATGTGTTTTGTTTTGTTTTGTTTTTTTATACCGTTGGAGTGTTTGTGGCATACATTTGATCCCTTAGTTTAGTTTTGTTGCATGTGCTTGTTGACACAATTTTTATATTATAAATGGTGTTCGTCTTATTTTAGCTTCTTTTTGTCCATATTAGTTAGGCGCGTTTATAGCGATATACTTTCCGTGGAATCCCGCAAATTTTCTTATTGGTGTAATCGATAACCGAATCGATAAGCCCCCAAAATCGATAAATCGAAATCGAAAAAATCGAAACCTTATTGAAACGATAACGATAAGCATATGTACAAATCGATAATCGATAAGTAATTATCGATAAGGGTCAAAATCGAATCGATAAATCGAATGCACACCCCTAGTCAACTTAAATTCTCTATTTCAAGTTAAATTAAAATAATAAAAAGCAATTAATATTGATTTGCAAATAATAATTCGTCAGTTCAATATACAAGTCAAATAATGCTATAGAGGTTGAGTGCCGCTTTCTACCTTTCACAGTTCATTAGTAGCGTAGCATTCCCTTCTCCTTTCCCCGCCCCTTTCCCTGATATAACAAAAAAACAAAAGTCAAATGCAACAATACCTTGAACTTGGCTGCTAAACGGAGACATGAAAATGGTTAATGCATGGTTCCAATGTCGTTCGTACGTCGATTCCATGTTCCATTCTGTTAATCAGCAGTAGTTAACCATAGTTAACCATGGTTTAATTATAATGTAATGTTTTTCATTCGGCTCCTTTATGGAGATGAGTCAATTTATAGATCTAAGATGTGAACAAAATTCGAAAATAAAAAAGAATTCTACCCATAACATCTATGTCAGCTTTTGGTCTGAATACAGATAAAACGAATAGCTTTGTAGATGATCCTTCTAGAAGAGGGGGATTCTAACAACCTTTCTAGTTATTTCGTTCTCTATTTCTATTTAATAGGATCCTGAGGAAAAGGATTTTGTTTCCACCGAGCTAAAACAATATGTTGATGTCTCTAGTAAACCAAAGTCATCGTTTAATAGCTATTTTGCTTCAATTTCTTCTTTACAAATAAGAAATTGAAAACTATAGTTAGAGAGTTAGTTAGTAGTTAGTTAAGGAGGTTGTTTAGTTTGTTATGAAAAGTGGACACTTGTACAATTGTCTTCTTCTTCTTCAATCAAAAATGTATCGAGCCTTTCTCTGATTCCCTCTCTTCTTCTAGATTCTTCTTCCTCTTCTCAGCTCAGATCTCATTTCTATGGATGAAGCTAGGCTTTGTAAAATTCTCACTTTGAAGATGTTTCTCGGTCAACAATGGCGATTGAAGATCAACACATTGGCGCGACCTCAACTACTGGTAACTTCACTGCTGGAACTGCTACATTTCCCACCATCGATCACAACCATCCTTTGTACCTGCAACCAACAGACACACCAAGTAATTCTCTAATTTTTCTTCAACTTACTGGATCAGACAATTATGCCTTGCGGAGTCGTGCAATGAGAATTGGCTTGCCAGGTAAAAGTAAATTAGGTTTTGTTGATGGGAGATTTCCTAAGTCTAAATTTGAACCTGAGCTTCATGATCTGTGGGAGAAAGTTAATGCTATAGTTCTCTCGTGGATAATGAATGGTGTGAGACCAGGATTGTTGAGTAGTGTATTGTATGCATCTAGTGCTCATAGAGTTTGGAAGGATTTGAAAGAGAGGTTTGATCAAGTAAATGGCTCGAGAATACTGTATTTGCATAGAGAAGTTCACACACTGACTCAAGGGACTATGACTATAACTGACTATTTCTCAAGGCTTAGAGAGCTGTGGGATGAATTTGATGCTCTAATGCCTTGTCCGGATTGTCCATGTCCTGAATCTAAACAGTATGCACAACACTTTGAGTATCAAAGACTTTTTCAATTTTTCACTGGGTTGAATGAGTCCTATTCTCAATCAAGGAGTCGGTTCATGATGATGTCTCCCCTGCCAAGTATAAACAAAGACTACTCTTTGTTAGTAGATCAGGAGAGTCAAGGGAATCTCACAAGCACAACACAAGTTGCTCAGGTCACTGAAACTTTGGAAAATATTGCCCTGTATAGCAGTTCGAGTGTGAATAATACTGGAAACAATAAGTCCAAAAGGAATCAAGTACAGTGTGAGTATTGTCACTATAAGGGACATACAAAAAAAAATTGTTACAAAGTGATTGGATACCCTACTGATTTCAAAGCCAAAAGAAAAGGAATTAGTACAGGACAATATGCCAATTATGTAGGCAATGCAGAAATTTCAGGTGCAGAGAGGTGCAATATGACTGCTAACATGACTCCTACTCTCAATGGATCATCTAGCTCAGTTACTACACAACAAATGAGTCAACCTGCTCCCTTCCAACAGATGCCACATCCAGCTCCTTTCTTTACTCATGAGCAATACCAACAAATTGTTCAGCTACTTTCTAGAGGAAGTTCAGAAGGATTAGACTCACCCAACAAAGTTGTTACAGTAGGTATTCTAAACCATGTGAATGCTTTTATGTCTCAATGTGTCAATAGTAAATGGATAGTTGACACTGGGGCTTCAAATCACATGACTTCAAGTTTAGACATGTTACACACTCATAGACCACTTCCAAATACAGAAGCAAACAAAGTACATTTGCCTACTGGGAATGTTGTGTCAGTGTCCCACACAGGTTGCACTTCTGTATTAAGTAATCAGGAGATCTCTAATATTCTGTACATTCCTGACTTTAAGTTCAACTTACTGTCAGTCTCAAAACTCACTAAGGAGCTAAAGTGTATGGTGGGATTCTTCCCTGACTTTTTTATTTTTCAGGACCTCTTCAGTGGTCAGGTGAAGGGGATGGGTAGAGAAGAACATGGACTATACATTCTGCAAGGAGGTATCCCAAAACAAGATCTATATCAGGCAACAAATAAGTGTACTAACATAATAAACACTATGTCAGCCTCTTCATGTACTTCTGTTTCTAGCCTTTGTGGCATAGAAGGTTAGGACATACTCCTTTAGATATAATAAAGAAAGTAGAAGTACTAAGCAAACTCACATCAGCTGATTCTCATCATTGTACTGTGTGTCCAGTAGCCAAACAGACCAAGTTGCCCTTTCAGCTAAGCAGTACAACTACAAAATCAGTGTTTGAGCTAATTCACTGTGATATATGGGGACCCTATAGAGTGCCCACACATGATGGTAAGATATATTTTGTTACCATAGTCGATGACCACACAAGGTATACTTGGATTTTTTGTTACAGTCTAAGTCAGATGCTATTGTAGTTCTAAGAGACTTTCTTAATCAAGAAAATAATATTTTTTTCTGCTACTGTAAAGTTTAGAACTGATAATGGAAGTGAATTCTTTAGCACTGAATTTAAGAGTCTGCTGTCTGGTCTTGGTATTTTCCATCAAAGCACATGTGTTTACACACCTCAACAGAATGGGGTGGCAGAAAGGAAACACAGAACCATCTTGGAAATAGCTAGATCACTCAGATTTTAAGCTGTTGTACCTTTAAGATTTTGGGGAGAATGTGTTGCTACTACAGTATATCTACTCAATCGACTTCCTTCTAAAGTTGTTGGATACAAATCACCATTGGAGATGCTATATTTGCACCCTCCTTCATTGTCTCATCTCAGAGTTTTTGGCTGCATATGCTATGCAACTTGTCCTCAAGTGCTGGATAAGTTCTCACCTAGAGCAATACTTGCTATGTTTCTAGGATACTCTTCTAGTCAGAAGGGTTATTTGTTGTATACTATGCATTCAAAAACATTCATAGTCAACAGGAATGTTATGTTTCAAGAGAATATTTTTCCTTTCAAGCATGCCACATCAATTGGAAGCCCTGTATTTCCTATCCTAGACTTGTTATCCTCTACTCTGAGCAATGTTACTCCCTCTTCTTCTGCACCACCAGCACCAGAGGTGTCCATTGACACCACCTTAAATCAGTTTCCTGCAAACTCCTCTCAGAGAGTCCCTCATTCTACAACAAGCTCAGAAGATTCTATCTCTATGATCCCTTCTGCTGTTGATCAGTTTCCTGATGTCACTCAAAATCCACATGTGTTTCCTCAACAAGCTGATGAGCCTCCTGCTGAACACAGAAGGTCTTCTCGACCAAGCAAGCCACCTCTGTGGCTGCAGGACTATGTCACTACCTCCAAAGGCTCTAAGTGTACGTATCCTATATCTTCCTATATGTACTATTCATCTATTGCTCTGTCATATAAGCAGGTCCTTGCAGCCTATTCAGCTCTCTCAGAATCAACTTCCTTCAAAGAAGCTGCAGCTGATCCCAAGTGGATAGCAGCAATGAAGTTGGAGATTGCATCCCTTGAGGATAACCATACTTGGAGTATTGTAGACTTGCCACCTGGGAAGACCCCCATTGGTTGCAGGTGGGTTTACAGAATTAAGTACAAAGCCTCTGGTGAAGTAGAAAGGTTCAAAGCTAGGCTAGTGGCTAAAGGCTACAGCCAAAAGGAAGGCTTGGACTATGGAGAAACTTTCTCTCATATGGCCAAGATTGTAACTGTTAGATCTGTTATTGCCTTAGCTGCTTGAAGACAATGGTTGAGTTTTCAAATGGATGTCCACAATGCCTTCTTCAACGGAGATCTTACTAAGGAAGTCTATATGCAATTGCCTGAGGGGTTTGCCAGACAGGGGGAGACTAACAAGAAGGTCTGCAAACTACATAAGTCGCTTTATGGACTTAAGCAGGCACCTAGATAGTGGAATATGAAGCTGACAGAAGCCCTGCTCAACATGGGCTTTCAACAGAGTCACTATGATTACTCTTTGTTCACAAAGAAGGCTGGAGATGATATAGTTGTCATATTGGTATATGTTGATGATCTACTAATTACTGGGAACAACCAACAACTGTTATGCAGTACTAGATCAGACCTCAAGAAGAAGTTCAAAATGAAGGATCTAGGAGAGCTCAAGTTCTTCTTAGGGATTGAGTTTGCAAGGTCCAAAAGAGGAATTCTTATGTGCCAAAGAAAATATGCCTTAGAGTTAATTTCTGAGTCAGGTTTGAGTGGTGCAAAGCCAGCTGGAACACCACTAGAGCTGAATCAGAAGCTAACTTCAGTAGAGTATGATAATTGCTTCAAAAATGACAACATCCAGACAGATGAAAGTCTTGATAATCCTGGTGCTTACCAAGGATTCATTGAAAGATTGTTGTATCTCACTATGACAAGACCTGATATTGCATTTGTGGTTCAGGGTCTTAGTCAGTACATATTGTCCTAAAAGGTCCCACATGGAAGCAGCACTGAGAGTTGTAAGATACATAAAAGAGGCTCCTGGCTTGGGGTTGTTCTTTCCTGCAGAGTCTTCAAATCAACTAAGTGCCTTTTGTTACTCAGACTGGGGGGGCATGTATACAAACCAGAAGGCCAGTCACATGGTATTTGGAAAGTTTGGATGTGCATTGATATTCTGGAAGTCCAAGAAGCAGAGTACTGTGTCCAGAAGCTCTGCTGAAGCTGAGTTTAGAAGCATGGCTGATAATAGGCTATATTCGCATAGTTTAGCAACCATTTACGCCCCAACTTAGCTATGCTTTATTGCTATATGAATGTTAAATGGCAACAAATGGCTCTAATTGTGAAATTGGTGCTTTGCAGGAGCAAGTGTTGATTATGAGGACATTGAACAGCCTTTGGAGCTAATTTGGAGCAAGGAAAGCCACTCGGAGGTGAATGCGCGTGAAAGAAGAAGGAGAAAAATAGAAAACAACTGAACCTCATGAGCGCGGGCTAAGCGCGGGCGCGCTCCAGCCGCGCTAGTCCAGGCAGAATAGAACGCGATATGCGCGGCCCAAGTGCGGTCCAAGCGCGGCCGCGCTCGTCAATTCGCTGAACCTTATTTCCAGGGGTAATTTCGTAAGTTTGGGGGAAACTCTCCTTAACATATAAGAAGCCCAGGTCGCCCAAAGAGAGGGTATCAAGGTTTTTATAGTTTTGTTGAAGGCAAGAAGAGGCAAGAGGCAAGGAGGAAAATTCGGCATCGATTTCTATCTTTCTTCCTTTTGTGTTGATCATTGATTATGAATTTTGCTATTGTGATTATGAAAACAATTATGCGTAGCTAATTATTTAGTCTAAGGTTGATGGAACCAATTGTTAGATGAACTTTTGACTCAGTTTGTCATAATCGAGCCGGGTTTATTATATGATTGTTCAACTATGTTTTGTATGGTGATTAATTGAATGGGCCCTTGATTAATCGTGTCTAATCGCCTTGTGTTGCTTGAGAAAGAATACTAGGTTAGATTGTTGTTGAACAACACCACTTTTAGGTAATTGAAGAGATTCATTACTTGAATTTAAAAGTGGGTTAGAAATAACGAAACTTTGGTGGGATAATTTAGAGCTGCATAAATTATCAGCTAGAGTAGTTCGAGAGAATGCTCTACTAAATTATTGTAGTTGATCGAGAGATAATTGCGGTAACCCATAGCTCATAATCCTCATAGAGTATTACGGCGAGATTATAGCAAAAGAGTTAAGAATTAATCTAGCAATTGGGAAAATCAATACCCCAGATCTCTCTCTACCATTGAATTATCTTTAATTTGGAATATTGTTAGTTTTAATATCATTTTAATTTAGTTAAACAAATCCCAATATTTATTGATAAAAATCTTGCAAACGGGAATTGTCTGAGCTTGCACTAGCATCACTAAGAGTTGTAATAGATAGGTTAGTTCCCTGAGGATTCGACTACGGACTTGTAAACCGGATTATATTTGCAACGACCGCTTTGTCT